TGGTCCAGTTAATTATTGAGTATATTGGGTCGGTTGTACTCATACTACACTCTGCACTTTGTATGTAGATCGAGGTAATTCTGGACGCGGTGATTTCTAGAGTGGTGCTAGTACCTGTTTGGAGACTTTGAGGTAGCTGTTATTGCTCCCACAGACCTTGACTCTCCTTCCTTTCATTTTTATTCAATACTATTCTATTTTATCAGAGAGTTATACAAGAGTTTTCGACTATGTTGACACTTAGTAGCTCATGTACTATGTGACACCGAGATTTTGGGATAGTTGTATTAGACTTTCTGTTGTTGAGCTTATTAAATCATGTTCTAATTCAAATGCGTACTTGTTGTGTGATTATCGGCTTGCTTAGTAATGTGTTAGACGTCGTTATGATAGGTTGGAATATTGGGTTGTTACAAGTTGGTATTAGAGCACTAGGTTACTAGGTCTCATGAGTCATGAGCAGGTTTAGCAGAGTCATGTGGATCGGTACAGAGACGTTTGTATTTATCTTCGAGAGGCTACCGAACCATTAGGAAACTTCACTTTCTTGTACTCTTGTCGTGCGAATTTGTTGATTCTGGAAACTGAACTTCTATTCGCTTATAGATGGTGAGGACACGTGTGGTTGGATCAGGCGGATGACCACTATTACCACTAGTTAGGACCGCGAGAGGCCGGGGCTATAGTAGAGGCTGAGGTGTAGCTCGTACTGCAGATAGAGCAGCACATGTGCAGCCACTAGTTGCTCTAGTTCAGGAGCAGGTACCAGATGTGGTTAAGTCGGTGGGACTAGCTCCGGCACCAGCTGTGCCCATTGTGATTCCGGGCCTTTATGAGGCTTTGGCCCAAATGTTGACTGTATGCACGAGCCTTGCTTAGGCGATTTTGGTTTCGGCTGCACCATCCACTTCTCAGGCCGATGGAGGTGCTCAAACTCCCTCCGCCCGTACTCCAGAGCAGGTAGCTCAAGGACTCCAAACATCGGGGGTACTACCAGCCCATACGGTTACAGCTGCTCGGGCCTAGGTTGGCCCACTTATGAATGATAAGGAGCAGAAGAGACTAGAGCGGTTAGGGAGTCTTAAGCCTCCAGAGTTTAGTGGGGCCGAGTCCGAGGATGCTCAAGATTTTATAGATAGGTTCCAGCAGATCCTTAGCACGACAGGAATTTTGGAGACCAGTGGAATTTCATTTACTACTTTCCAACTGATAGGGTAGCCTACAGATGGTGGGGGGCCTATGAGTTGAGCAGATCAGCCGACTCTGAGCTATTTATATGGCATGAGTTTTCGGTTCTCTTCTTAGAGAAGTTTGTTCCAACGACTCGCAGAGAGGTGTTGCATAGGCAGTTTGAGCATCTACACCAGGTAGGTATGTCAGTGACCCAGTATGAGAAGAGATTTTTAGAGTTGGCTCGTCATGCGGTATGGTTGGTTCCCATTTATAGGAAGAGGATTAGGAGGTTTATTGATGGCCTTAACTATGGGCTACATTTTATCATGACTCGGGAGATTGCGTCGAGTGCGAGGTTTGACGAGGTGGTTGATATTGCTAGATGCCTAGAGGTGGTTCGTAGTTAGGAGCGCGAGGAGAGGGAGGCCAAGAGGCATCATGGTTCAGGTGGTTTCAGCAGTGCCTCATCTGGAGGACAGTTCCATTACAATAGGGGTCGTCTTTATAGGCTCGCTCAAACGGCTCGTCCGGTTCATCATAGTGTATCAGCTAGCCATGGCTCATACAATGCTCATCTGGGTCAGCTATCTTTTAGTGCCCTCCCAACTCACAGTTCATCCCGTGCTCCATCAGTTCAGGGTTCATCTGTACCAGGTTCTTCTAATGGTTATTCTGGTTCTTGGGGTCCGATTCAGTCCCCGTCGCTGTTGTTGGATCGAGGTTGCTTCGAGTGTGGAGAGTTTGAGCATATGAGGAGTTATTGTCCTGGTCTTATGGGAGGTCCAATTCAGCAAATGGGTCAGGCTATGATTTCTGCACCAATTATGTCACCACCCGCTCAGCCAGCTCGGGGCGGGACTCAGACAACTCAAGGTCTCCCTAAAGGGGGAGGCCTATTAAGTGGTGGTCAGGCTCAATGCTATGATTTTCCCGCCAGGCCAGAGGCCGTTTCTTTAGATGCAGTGATAACGGATATTGTTTCAGTGTGCCACAGAGACGCTTCCATATTATTTGATCCCGGTTCCACTTATTTATATGTATCATCGTACTTTGCTCGTTATTTGGATATGCCCCATGATACTGTAGCTACACCTGTTCATGTATCTACGCTGGTGGGTGATTCTATTATTGTAGATCGTGTATATCGGTCGTGTATGGTGGCTATTGAGGGATTAGAGATGAGAGTTGATCTTTTACTGCTTAGTATGGTTGATTTTGACACGATTCTAGGCATGGATTGGTTGTCCCTATATCATGTTATTATGTATTTTCATGCTAAGACCGTGACGCTGGCGATGCCGGAATTGCCTAGGATTGAGTGGAGAGGTTCTCTGGACTATTTTCCCAGTAGAGTGATATCATATTTGAAGGCCTAATTAATGGCTGGGAATAAGGGTATTCATGGTCCGGGTTGGGTCGGGTTTTCCCTAAAAATAAATCAAACCAAATAAGTCGAGTTTTCAATATTGGAACCAAACCAAACCAATCATGTCAGTTTTTGCTGGTTTTTGATTTTTTCGATTATTTATCGGGTTTTTTCTTAAATATGAGACATACACTATCAAACGCATATTCCGGTGACTACATTTTTAACATAACACTATCAATTCAATTGCTCTTTGAGAAATCTATCATTTTCAAGATATATTGATGATAATTAAATAAAATGGTGATGAAGAATTTAAGTATTCAATTACAAATCGATTATTTTTAACATGAAATAAATTCTTGTACTTAGTAAAAGAAAACTATCAATCAAACTAGAATGTAAAGGCAAAGAATTAGATTATTATAATAGCAAAGAACTAGACTAAAAATACAAATGACTAATATGTACCATAAAATTTTAGAAAATTTATATAAAAATATACACATATATATGTGTAATAATACATTTAAATAGCTACTTTTATAGTCGGGTTGATTTGATTTTTTCGGTTATTTTTTGAATAAAACCAAAACCAAATCAAATTTGATCGGTTTTTAAAATTCAAAACCAAAACCAAACAAAACCTAAAAAGCATTGTTTTTTTAGTTGGTTTGGTTTGATTTTCGGTTTGGTTCGATTTTTCGGGTTCTTATGAACACCCCTAGCTGGGAAGGGATATTTGGTATATTTGGCCTTTGTGAGGAATGTTAGTGTTGATACTCATACCCTTGAGTCTGTTTCGGTAGTGCAAGACTTCCCGTATGTGTTTTCTGCAGAAATTCTAGGCATGCACCCGACAGAGATATTAATTTTGGTATTGACTTGGTGCCGGACGCTTAACCCATTTCTATTCCTCCGTATCGTATGACACCATCAGAGTTGAAGAAATTGAAAAAACAGATTCAAGAGCTACTTGATAAGGGATTCATTAGGCCTAGTGTGTTACCTTAGGGTGCACTGGTTCTGTTTGTGAAGAAGAAGGATGACACTATGAGGATGTGCATTGATTATAGGCAGTTGAACAAAGTTACAATTAAGAACAAGTACCCGATGTCCTGCATTGATGACTTATTGAACGAACTTCAGGGAGATAGAGTGTTTCTCTAAGATTGATTTAAGGTCTGGGTATCACCAGTTGAAGATTTGGAATTCTTATATCCTAAAGACGGCATTCAGGACCCGCTATGGTCACTACGCGTTCCTTGTGATGTCTTTTGGCTAACCAATGCCCCAACAACATTTATGCATCTGATGAACAATGTATTCTAGCCATATCTTGATTCTTTTGTCATGGTATTCATTGATAATATACTGGTGTACTTACATAGACATGAGGAGCAGAGGATTGTACTACAAACGTTGCAAGAGAAGAAACTTTATGCTAAATTCTCCAAGTGTGAATTTTGGCTTGATGCTGTGGCGTTCTTAGGGCACATGGTATCCATTGAGGGAATCAAGGTAGATCCGAAGAAGATTGAGTCAGTTAAGAGTTGGTCCAGACTGTCTTTAGCTACTGAGATTCGGAGGTTTCTTAGCTTGGCCGGATATTATCGCCGTTTTGTGGAGGGTTTTTCGTCCATTGCTGCACCTTTGACTAGATTGCCCCATAAGAAGAACTACACCGTTCATGATTTAGAGTTGGCAACCTTGTTCATGCTTAGTAATGTGTTAGGTGCTGTCATGGCAGATTGGGATCTTGAGTCGTGACAAATTTAAATTTGTGAACAACACTTTACTTTAAATACCTTGGACGAGTGATTTGCCTCACTCAATAATATGAAGTGTTTTAATTTTAATATAAAATGATATGTTATAATATTTGACATATATACACAATATAATTTTTCGACTAAGAATGTTAATTACACTTGAGATAGTGTGGAACGCCAAGGAGAGGTTCGATAATTTTTGCATCACCCATTTAACATTTTTATACAAAGAGAAAAGATTACTATGCGAGAAATTCAAAAATAGCCACAGTTTAAAAAGTAATCGAAATTTAGCCACTTTTCATGTAAAGATAAATCTGAATGAAAATACTGTTCAAAATCCGAAAAATACTCCAGCATAATATACTGGAATTCCAGTATAATATACTAGAACTTCAATATATTATACTAGAGTTCCAGTATAATATACCGATCCAACATAATATGCTGGAAATTCATACACAGGTGCATCAATTTCCAGTATATTATGCTGGAACTTTTCGTGTTGCAGCAAAATAATGACTATTTTTTAGTGACTTTGCAAATGGTGACAATTGTTGAATGACCAGTACGAAAATTGGCTAGCCCGCGCTATTTCTAGGATTACTATGGCCACAAAAGACACAATAAACGCATCCATCCGTGGGACACACGAGCAAAAATGGGTGCAACTGTAATCTGTAAAGAAAAGACCGACTAAGCGATCCTTGGCTCGAGCCTTCTAAGCCAGCGTCTCCAGAAAACTCTGTGACTTTAACAAAATGGCAGCACCAGTAATGCGCCACCTCACTCCCGTCCCTTCTTCCTTTATAAAACTCCAAATACTTCCCCAAAGTCGCTCTTTTTTCACTCTCTCCACTCCTCGCAAGAAGAAACGATTCTCCCTCGTAACTTCATTTTCAGTCATGGCTTCTGCTACTAAGAAGGTGCGTATTATCAAAATTATCAACTAATTGTTTTTTCTCGTTTTGGAAAATGTTTGTGACATACATTTGGTTGTTATAGGTATTGGTTCCGATTGCGAACGGGACCGAGCCGATTGAGGCTATTGTGCCGATAGATATTTTGCGGAGAGCTGGTGCGGAGGTTACTGTTGCCTCAGTTGAGAAGCAGCTTCAGATTGAAGGAGTGCACGGAATTAAGATCGTTGCCGATGCTCTAATTTCTGATTGTGCGGATACTGAATTCGACCTTATCTCACTTCCGGTATGTGTTTTATTCAAAACTCACGAATAAACATTGTATAGCTTAAACGACTTGAGCTGTCCTAAGGGATTGTCTTGTTGCCGGGTGTAACACTCTGAATAACTAATAATACCTTTATAATTTATGTTATTCACTGGCTAAGATTCCGGGTAATATTATTCAACAACAACAATAACAAACCTAATATAATCCCACAAGTGGGGTTTGGTAAGTATAGTGTGTACGCATATCTTACCCCACCTTGAAGGTATGGACATTGTTTCCGATACCCTCGGCTCATGAAAAGCAGTTAAAAAAATAAAATAAACTATAGCACCAAGCAGTAACAACAACAAGATAGTAAGAAATCCAAACGAAAAGAACAACAGGTAAAAAAGGCCCAACACTAATACTCTCGACCATCTAATAGCCGTCTACCTTGATTCTCGACCTCCACACCTTCCTATCAAGGGTTATGTCCTCGGTAAGCTGAAGTAACGTCATATCCTGCTTAATCACCCCACCCCAATACTTCTTTGGCTTGTCTCTATCTCTTCTCAGCCCCTCTAGCGCCAACCTAACACCTTCTCAGTGGGGCATATGTGTTTCTCCTCTTCACATGCCCAAACCATCTAAGCCGAACTTCGTGCATCTTGTCCTCCACCGGAGACACTCCCACTCTGGCCCGAATATCTACATTCCTATATTTATCCATCCTGGTGAGCCCACACATTCATCTCAACATCATCTATCTCTTCTACTCTCATCTTCTGGACACACGAGTTCTTGACTGGCCAACACTCAGCCCTATACAATATAGTCGGTCTAACCACCACTCTGTATAATTTGCCTTTAAGTTTAGGAGGCATATTCTTATCACATAAAACACCAGATGCTCGCCTCCACTTCACCCACCCCGCTCCAATACGATGTGTAACATCCTCGTTAATCTCCTCATTACCTTGAATAATGGAACCAAGGTACTTGAAACTATCTCTCTTAGGGATAACTTGCGTATCAAGCCTCACATCTCCGTCCGCTCCACTAGTCCCGTCACTGGACTTGCATTCCAATTATTCTGTCTTTGTCCTACTCAACTTGAACCCTTTAGATTTTAGGGTCTGTCTCCAAACCTCTAGTCTCGCGATTACACCTCCTCGCGTATGTTAATTTTCTTATCTGATGTTTGGCCAAAGACTCGAATTACAAAATACAGATTTTAGATTAACTCCTCTTGAATGCTGTATAAGCCTATGTTCGTTATTATGCGATTCAGTTTTAATAGACCAATTCAATCATTTGTTAAATAAGATTTTCCTCAAATATATCGATTGCACCTGGCTTCATTGGTCAAACCTAATTGACTAATATAAGAGAGCAGATGCTATTGATGATTGCTTTATCATGTGCATATTTTGTGTGAGTTCACCTAAAGTGTTAATCCTATTAAAGATTAAGACATGCATTTTACATTACCTTTGGTTCTATCTGTGAGTTAAAAAGATACAGGACAAGAAGCAAAGTGTTTAGGGCTGGAAACATGAGAGGTGAAAGAAGATGCATGCATTATTCTTGTCCATTTTCAGACCTTTAGTAATGGAAAGGAAGTAAATCCCTTCTAGTTATGTTCATCTATGGGTTCGACCTTTAAAATTTTACTGTTTAGCCTATTGCACTTTTGGAATTATGGGATCGGAATTTAATTTTTGTTGAAAATTTAGTAATTTTTATATACTGTGTCAAAAATGGTGGTTTCGGTTAAAACCGTATCGAAAATGTTGCATCCGCCTCTGGTTAGATTCGTGGTAACAGGAAATGACGAATATAAGAAGAAGGATTTCTTACTTGTAGTGTCTCTTTTCCTTAACCAATATGATGCTTGGTATTTAAGTACTTTTGATGCTGTTCAAGTCTCGTTAAGGGGCATATGAAGACCTTAGTTACAATTCTTTTTTTGGTTAACATTTGTTTCCATTCTACAGGGAGGGATTCCTGGTGCAACCAACCTAAGGAATTGCAAGACTTTGGAAAGCATAGTAAAAAAGCAAGCTGTAAATGGACGGTTTTATGCTGCAATATGCGCTGCTCCTGCTGTAGCACTTGGATCATGGGGGCTTCTGAAGGGGCTGAAAGTTAGAAGTTCATTTTTTTGCTGTTTAAAATTCAATGATGTTGTTTCTTTTGAAGGGGCTGAAAGTTAGAATCTGCTTCTCTTGGTTCTTTGATAGGCAACATGTTATCCGTCGTATATGGAGGAGCTATCATCTTATACCATTGCTGTTGAGTCAAGAGTCCAAAAGGATGGGAAAGTTGTGACAAGTCGAGGACCAGGAACTGCGATTGAGTATGCTGTTGCATTGGTTGAGCAGTTGTATGGAAAAGAGAAGGCTGATGAAGTTTCTGGCCCACTGGTATGTTTATAATCCATCCCTTTTATTTTATCATGAAAGGGGAACCAATGTCTTGGCAAGATGCGTGACAGGAGTTGTAGATCTAAAAATTTGGGATATTGTGTACACGTGATTTACATCTGCATCTTATGGTAGCGGATTTGCTAAAACAATGAATGGATTCCTTTCACTTCTATGCATGATTCTGGTTCAGAGGAGATGAACCAACTAAAAAGTTAAAAAGTATCTTTCTGTGCTGCAGAAAGGATGAGTCTGAATTCGTATGTCATAGTGATGTGAACAAGTAGCTCGAGGAATTTCAGGTGTTAAATTGATGCATGATTGGCTAAAGGCTGGATACCAGAGTTGTTTTTTTAAGAAACTAAATCATTTGGAGGAGTAGAGTGATTATGACGAATATAATTGAAAATTCAATGCCTTGGCTTGCCTTTCTTGATTTTTATGCAAGATCGAGATGCAGAATGCAACGTTGAGACCTCATATCTTCTTGCCTCATCTTATATCACTTTGGGCTACAATTTATCCTGATAGTTATTGTTATATGTGCAATTTTTTAAATCAGTCTTACTTAGGCTTCTTCTGGTATTAGATCACGCTCTTCAAAGTTGATGCTTTCCTTAATCATTTTAGCTTTGCTAGTGGAGACCATCAGATGTTACTGTCATGCTGTAGCCCTGGTGTCCAGGATTTGCCCGGTGCCGTTTATTTATGAAATTTTGGAATCGTTCATATTTCAGGTGATGCGCCCAAATCATAGCGAAGAATTTGCATTTGCTGAGCTTAATTCAGTAAATTGGACATTTACGAGTAAGCCACAGGTAAGATGTTGGCTGAGAACTATTTCTGTCCATGGTAAGGCTCTGTCATTTTCCTTCTCTTCAATCATTTATGTACTTAGTACCTGAAAAAGTGATCCATTTGAATTTTGCATATAGTGAAAGATTCTACTATTATTTGTATGCCGATGCATACATTGTTGAGCTGATAAATATCTTCGCAAGCCATTGTGAATCATGATATATGTACTCAAAGCACAAGCTGAGGATAAGGTATTGTATGGGCATCTGTGTATAGCCCACCTCTCCAAAGTGTAGGTTTAGCAAGATTTCAGGCGAAGTCTTATTAATAAGATTCTTTATTTGAAGTAATAGCAGTGACCAATTTCTAGATAGAATATTTAGCTTCTGAAGAAACAGCAGTATGTACTTCTTTTGAGTTTTGGAGCTGAACCATTACCAAGTTAGTATTCAGCTACCTAATATTACTAATATTTTTTGAAATTACTAAATATATTTTGAAATACTTGTTTGACAGATTCTTGTACCTATTGCGAATGGTTCCGAGGAAATTGAAGCAGCTACTATTATTGATGTACTTCGACGAGCAAATGCTCAAGTAGTAGTGGCATCTTTGGAAGACACATTGGAAATTTTCGCTTCCAGAAAAGTTAAGCTTGTAGCAGATGTGCTCCTTGATGAAGCTGCTAAGCAGTCATACGATCTTATCGTCCTGCCAGTGAGTGCACTCTTCTGAAATGCTATAAAGCTCCTTGAAGTTCTTGTCTTACTGTAATCTACAAATACACAGGGTGGTCTTGGTGGTGCCCAAGCATTTGCCAACTCAGAAAAGTTGGTTGACATGCTGAAGAAGCAGAGAGAATCAAGCAAACCATATGGAGCAATGTGTGCATCTCCGGCTCTAGTCCTAGAGCACCATGGGTTGCTCAAGGTAAAAAGATAATTTCAAGCTCTTGGACGTTGATTGTTGAACTATTGTAAAGCAACTGAATCTGACCTCAAGTACTGCAATTTGTAAATTACCTTGGCTATCAGGAGAAGAAAGCCATGACTTGAAGGTTCCGAATATTACCTCAAGCACTGTACGAGGCTTGTTGGTTTAAGTCTCTTGCAGAATAACATGCTTGCATTAGACAAGTTTATGCATTTGAGAATTTGACTGCTCCATATCTGAATTGAATATTTGGCTCTGTTAGTTGACATTCGTTGTTGCTTGCTATCCAGGGTAAGAAGGCTACTGCCTTTCCAGCTATGTGCAATAAGCTCTCAGATCCAAGCGAAGCAGAAAATAGGGTGTTGATTGATGGCAATCTCGTTACTAGCAGAGGACCAGGAACTACCATGGAGTTTGCACTGGCCATTGCAGATAAGTTTATTGGCCGCAAGGAAGTACTAGAGCTAGCAAAGAAGATGGTTTTCTAAGTAGGATATTTTTTCCTGTCCGTCTTTAGGATTATATAGGCACCCATAGTTGTAAACTTGTAATAAACTTTGCCATCAGTGTGCACTTAAAATAAATGAAATAAGTGGGTGTTGGCCAAGCTGTATACGAGTTGCTCAGTCGCATTTGCTAATTTCCTATTCAATGCCATAGCTTTTTATGCTGGTCTCTTCCCTCCCAATAGATCTGTCGTTTATCTCATTTTGGTCATATCACTGTGGTTATTTATGCTGTTTTTTAATGGTTGTAGGTGTCTATGGGAAACAACCTCTCTATCTGAACAAGTTAGGGGTAAGGCTACGTACATACTACTCTCTCGAGATCTCACTATGTGAGATTATTGTTGCTTCCCTCCCAATAGTATAAGTTACAGTGGCATGAGCTTGAATCTGTAGTTGTCATCAAGCCGACCTTCAAGAACTCTAATGTAAGATGCTTGGGGACACAATAGAAGCCATTATCTCTTTGGGGGTCGTATTATGTTTTTCATTTCGACAGGATAGCATGTGTGGAGATGTTTTAATTAAATACGGAACTGTTCGCTTATGACTTCAAAACAATATACATCTTTTGAATGCTTATAAGGTGAAGGAGGCTGGTTGAATTTTTCCGCGACTGTGAATTCTCAAATACACGTTCGTGATGTGGATTACAGATGGTGATTGTTTTTCTCAATTGTTTTTAATTCGTGTTGTTAAAAGAGGGGTTGATTTTTTTGTAGATATTTCCAAATTGAGTTCCTTTCCTAGTATCTTTTAAGTGGAGGAAAAGCCCTTAGATTATTCAAAATCTTCAAGAATGCAAAAAGTTGTGCTACTTAATACTTGTAATGAATTTAACTGTAGATTGACCTTAATAGCTCGCCATTGTTGACTCCGATTTTACCCCTGGAGAACATAAGTTTTCCGGCTACTATTATTTGTTAACAAATCTCTGGTGACTGTAAATCAATCCACTTGGAGTCTCCTTTATTACCAAAAACGGAACCTTTTTTGCATACTAATAGTCTGTTTGGCCAAGTTGGAAAAATAAACTTATTTTTAGAAGTGTTTTTTTAAAAAAGTACTTTTCGAAAAAGTACTTTTGGAGAAAAACAATTTGTGTTTGGCTAATTAATTTAAAAAACACCTTTCAATGATAATTTATGTTTGGCCAAGTATTTTAAAAAGTGCTTTTAAATGTCAAATTACTAATAGGGACATGAAGAGATTGCTTAATAATTAACATTTTTTTTATTTTATTTAAGTAAAATATAAAAATAAAATTGAAAAATACTTTATTCTTTCAAGATGATTTAAATATATCAAAAAATCATTCAATTAATATGAAAGTTCATCCCAAAAGTCATTTTATATTACTTAATAGTTTAAACTAAGTAAGGTTATTTTGGTGTATATAATATTTTGCAAAAGGTATTTTTGGTAGGAAGAAAAGTCAAAACTGCTTTTGCTTCTAGGGAAGCTGCTTTTTTCTACTTCTTCAAAACTGCTTCTACTTCTAGCCAAAAACACTTTTCCCCCCAAAAAAGCTTGGGCAAACACCTCAAGAAAAAAAAATACTTTTTTTAAATTAAAAAACACGTGGGGAGAAGCTTGGCCAACCAGGCTATAAGCAATCTTTCGTCAAATGGTTTAAGCAAGCTCTTGAATCGTATTGTCTGTTGCCAATTAAATATGTCTACCTAGGGTGGACTGGCAAATGGGTTGTATTTGAGCTAGTCAAGATGTGCTAACTCATTAAATGGATTATTGTCCAACCATGCCTAAAGTTCACTTAGGTTAAGATGAGCTTAGTCAAGATGTGCTAAATAATGAGTTGTAACTCAAACCGCCCAAATTGACCCAAACTTTTGCAATATTCTCAACTTTTAAACAAGCTACATAAAAAGTATTTTATGTTTTGGAATAAATATCAATTCATGCCCAATGATTTCTTTCCTCAATTTTGATTTAGAATTTTACTTGATAGTTCTTCATCTTATAATACTAACAAAGATTAGAATAATTAAAAAGTAGTAAAATTAGAATTTTCCACCCACCCCACCTCCCACCACTCCTACCCCCACC